GGTCTCGAACCCACGGGCTCAGCAATCCACTCACCTCAGCCTCCCAAAGGCGCAGGATTACAGGCTGAGCCACCGAGCCCGGCTGACCCTGGCTTTTCTTAAGCTCTGACCCGGCCATGCCTCCATTGAGCTATGGCTGGGTCATGCTTTTCTTTAAGCTCTGAACCCCTCCCCAGTCTGGGGGAGGTGAGTCCCCCTTTTCTCTCTTTCTCTAATCTGCTTTCTAAATAAACTATATTTTTCAGTTTACAAAAAGATATTATCCGTATGATAGTTAGAATTTGGTGGCTATCTGAAAAAAAGATTTCCCCAAAATCAGCATTGATTAAAAATTCTAAATGCCAAATTAATTTGTTCTTGGTGAAACTGAAACCCAAAATGAGATCCAGGAGCTGCTATGGCCAGATGTCATTACTAGGGGAAGGAATCTGTACTAATTCATCTCTAGTTAATTCAGGGGGCAGACCTAATGCAAAAGTCATGTATTTTGATACCCATCCATTGCAAACACTGACTTTTTCTAAGAATCAGATGACATTTTATTACTTTGATTTATGTAATAATAAAAATCTAAATGACTAGGATCTTGTTTTAGTATTACAAACATATAAAGAAACTACCTTTCTAAAGTAAAGTATACTTTTAGAATATGAACAGCTCTCACTTAGTTTTGTTTTTTGTTTTTTGGGTTTTTTTTTTAGTCAGAGTCTCACTCTGTCACCCAAACCAGAGTATGGTGGGTATGCTCACTGCTTACCACAACCTTGATCCCCTAGGCTCAGGTGATCTTCTTGCCTCACCTCCCAAGATGCTGGGATTATAGGCGTGAGCCACTGTACCTGGCTATATTTAGTTTTCTTGACAAATGTAAATTGTTTTAATGAAACAGTGCTGTTGTTAGATGTGCCTTCATTTTTCGATACTTTGAAACATAACTTGACCTTTGCATCTTTTTCAGGATGTTCTTGAGGAGAGAATTTCCCTGGAAGTTCAACTGGAACAACTTCGACCATTCTCTCACCTATAAGCCAATTGCCGTTAACTGTGAACATACTTATTTTTAAGTGGTTTTGGGTTCAAAGCCAATTTGGAGACCCAAACATTCAGCTCACTGCTTAATTCAACCTTAAATTTTATGATTCTGTTTTGCCCTATATGTTCACCATTGTATTTAAGTACCTTTTATTTTTTAATTTCAACAATAAAAGGGTCAGGATGACTTTTTCTGGAGGTTACATTGTGTTTGCTGGCACACCCCACCCTTGCTGTTGTGTATCATCAGGAATACATAATGTGTAAATGACGAGAACGGCACACTAATGTGATTTGCAGAATGGGCTTCTCATTTACATCACAAGCACAGACTCAGAGATCTCTGCAAAAGGGAAAAAAAACTAAATAAACTGCCAATTTGGCCTCTTTTAGGATTAATGTTGTACATAAAGCATCTATATTTGTTTGGTAAAAATTTTTTAAATAAGTTTTCTATTTAACTTTTTATTTTAAAGAGTTATATTAGATAAGGCAGTTTTCACCATAAACTAATTTACCTTCTGCAGTAATCAATATTCTTCAGGAATCACATCATACTTTCAGACCTCTTTCACATGTCAACTTGTGACAAATGTAAAATGTGTTAGATTTTATATTTTTCTTGTGGAAATGTGATCAATTTCATCTTTGTGTGAGATTTTAATTCAGCAACAGTCAGGTAAACTTATGAAATATCTCTCAAGACAGGCCTTTCCTTATTATTAATTTTCAAGTGATAACTTTTAAAACTTCTGAAGTTATCAATTATTCATAGAATAAATTAAAATTTCTTAAGATTTCTAGTTTGCCTTCAGCCATCTTGTCACTCATTCTTTTGCCATCTAGGCAGGTTTTTCCTATTAATGAGTTTCTGTAGTATGCCTTATGCAGGACAATATACTGTTTTAGAATTTATATTATATGCTGCACACATTTTGATTACATTTGTAAATTTGCATTCATTGCTGACTAACAGAATTTCCTTTAAGATTTATTCTATCTACAGGATCCTAGATGTTAAACTGCATGGATATATCTCAGCAGAATCAGAAATTCGATTTTACATTAATAAAACAGCACAGTATTTTAATTTTTGTACATTTTTTAACAAGAATTTAAATTTTTAAGAAATGGAAGGAATTTATATTTTCATTGCTGAAAGAAGAAAATGTTTAAATTGTAAGGTTTACAATCATAAACTGTACCAATAGATTTTATTACCATAAATAAGAAAATCAAAAAGGAAACTGACAATCTGATGTTTCCAAGATTAATATAACTTTCATACAGCAATAACTAGGTAAAAATATTACTGCATACATCAGCTAAAGTTTTTAAGTGGCTAACAGTAGGGCTTCAGCTTATTAAATAATCAAATAAAAGCTTTAAAGACCTAGTAAACTACTCAATACCTATTTTGCTCTTTCTGTTTTAAATAGAACTCTCTTAATTTCTTCATTTTTACTTAGCTAAATTTCATTTCAGGCAAGTTTTCCTATGTTTCCTTTTTTTTTAATAGCCTTCTAATTTAACAATGTTGCATATTTTTAAAGCTTCTTATTTGAAAAAATCTAAGAATTTAGTCTTACAATTAGAAAAAACTTTTCCTATGGGCACAGTGACTCACATCTGTGATCCTGGCACTTTGGGAGGCCATGGAGGGAGGCTCACTTGAGCCCAGGAGTTCAAGACCAACCTGGGCAACATAGCAGGACCTCGTCTCTACAAAAAAATCAAAAAATTAGCCAGGTGTGGTGGTGTGTGCCTATAGTCCTAGCGATTCAGGAGACTGAAGCAGAAGGGTCGCCTAAACCCAAGTGGTAAGGCTGTAGTGAGCTGTGGTCATGCCACCACACTGCATCATTGGAGACAGAGTGAGATACCACCTAAAAAAAAAAAAAAAGGAAAAAAACCAACATTTCCAAATGGACTTGTGAACAAAGTCCATTTGGGGAAAAAAAAAAACTTGAAAATTACAGAAAACTAGAATAAAATTACAGAAAACTAGAATAAAATTACAGAAAACTAGCCAGGCTCGGTGGCTCAGCTTGTAATCCCACGCTTTGGGAGGCTGAGGTGAATGGATTGCCTGAGCCCACGGGTTCGAGACCCGCCCGGGCAATTTGGCGAGACCTCATCTCTTCAATAAATCAAAAAATTAGCCGCACGTGGTAGTGTGCGCCTGCATTTCCAGCTACTTGGAAGGCCGAGGCAGAAGGATCGCCAGAGCCCAGCAGATTGAGGCTGCGGTGGCCAGGAGCGGCCACTGCACTCCAGTCTGGGTGACAGAGTGAGACTCCAACTCAAAAAAAAAAAATTACAGAAAACTTAGTACTTTGTAGTGCTATCTCTTAATGCTCTCTAGAGGAGTACATTCATATTAAGGATATGCATGACAAGCTTTTTAGTAAATTGCCATTTATATTTCTTCTGCATTTTTTAAAATCAACAATTATTTCATGGAAATGTTAAAGATAATTAGTAAATCACCAATAAATTAAAATATTTTTCTAGACTGATAATTTAAGAAACATTTTTAATTCTGCTTTCATTTTTCATTAGATCACAAAACAAAACTGTATACAATCTGCTTGATCTATCTTAGGTTTCATCACATTAGTCAGATTACTCTAGATGATATCATCCATGAACTGTAGCTACCAAGAGAAGTCTTTCAAAATTTTGGATTCAAACTGTTCTTATTGTACATTCTACATAAGTGAGCATAGATGATAAAGTTTAAAGGTCAGAAGACTCCTTCGATTCATCCTCGTTCATCCTCTCATCATCCATGACAAGTAATCTTTCTGTTTCTTACTGGATATTCTGGAGCAGAAAATACACGTCTGTCTTTGCCAGGGAGAATTGGCACCCCTGATGTATTCAAATCCAGTCGCATTTCTCCATACTGCTTTTGATTGCATTTTGAAGTACTGACAACCATAGGAACTTATCATCCTCTATCTCTGTAGCACAAATCCATTCACATTTTGGACCTTGAAGAATAAATGCATTCTTGACATCTGTGAGAGCATTTCCAGGACACTGATTAATCTTTCAGTAACAATCAAAAGGAGAAAATGTTTTAAAATTTAAAAATTAATCAAGTCACCTTTGAGAATTTTTTGAAAACTAAACATTCAAAACAAATACAAATCCAGTTTAGAATATTATGTCTTACAATTACTGAATAATTCAAATATAATCTAAAATCATGTCTGTATTACAATTAGATTGCAAATAGCGAGTATTTTAAAGACTGATAGATGCTGTTTTTAAGCTCCTTGTCTTAACCACTCCTAAAGTAACTAGAATCGGCATCTTTGCTGATACTTGTGTCAGATGCTGAGAACTAGACCTAGACAACCTTAATATGAAGGCCAGTGACAGAATTAAGCCAACTACTTTGCTAAATTCCCATTGTCTATTAGTTTACATAACAATGTTTTGACATACATAGCTGATTGTTAAGGTGGGCGGGAACAGGAGACATTTCATACACTATTTCATCATACCCGGTGGTTATAGGTAACTATCTCTTTTTACCTGTGTGTCTTCCAGGTGGAAATATTTATTTCTACACTTGTTGTTCATTTTTTCTGAGGCTCAGACCTCAAATGGGGCTGAAACCACTGGGAAGCAGCCCTTATATTTAAATTGGCTACTTTTCGGAGGTCTAGGTTCCGGTTTTAACCTTAGATCCTGTCTTTACATGCTGTGAAAAATACTGGAATGAGAGATATTACATGTGGATTGTCTGGCCTAACAAATATGAGGAAAGAGATGAGGATCTTTTCAAATTTGGGAAGTAAAGTGTAGGATAATAACTAAAAATAAGTACAATAGGTTTAAGTAGGATTCCTTTTTGTGTCATGCTGTTTCTACTGGAATTGTTATCAATGAAATATTTAAGTTGTAAACATCCTTTGCAAATCTGTTGATTACTTAAAAAAACAACTCACAGCTTAGATGCAAACTAAGGAAGACAACATACAGTCAAATCTGTAATAATCAGTCCTAGTAGAATGGAAAAGTAATAGATAAAAATCTGAAATGCTTCAAGACTGTAGCATCTTCAGACGGAGAAGATAGTGATTAAGAGCTCCAGCTTCCATGTCAGACTGCATCAGAGAATTCACAGTGATGTGGGGTCTTCCCTTTTTGATTTTTGAAAGCTGGTTTCCTAATGTCTAGGGTGCAATGCCAGAAGTCCTGTGTTCTGGTATTTCAGAGATAGATGAAAGTTTACATTTTTTAATGAATTCCTAATATTGGAGGAATTATTTGCAAATGTAAATTATAGTTCCAGTCCTCTTCCCACGTTTTTGTCTTATTAATGGGTTTTATATAAAAACATTTGTCTCTTGGAAGAAAAATAATACGTACACTTTGAATCTGGAATGTCTTCTACAATTAATCTTTGAAGGGCCACTGATACAATGAACTGGTAGGTTGTTTTTGAAGTCCTTTCATATGGAGTATGAGATGTGCCTCGACTAGAAACAAGTAGTGCATCATTGAAGAGAAAAAGGCTGAGGTCACGGATGTGTTCATAGAACCTGTGTTAAAATGGAGAAGGGGCAGCTTTAATACATACATGATTGTACGCAATTGGCCATTTTGAAACTGATAAGCCAATAGTCAAGGCTTTTACTATAGTCCTTTTGAGTGGCTCATTGGGGTTCTCAGTAGAATACTCCTTATAGGATTAGTCTCCCTTCTGTCTCTCAGATCAATACTCTGGGCCATCAGTGTTCCTGGTGGAGTGGCTTAAGCCTCTCTACTGGACAAGTATTTTATAATGCATGTGGGAAAATGAACATTGAGCTTTCCCTCTTTTATGAAACAAATCACACTCTAGCTGTTTTAAACTTTTCTCAAGCTTGGTATTTTGATATATTTGGGCAATCTGAAGAAAATTAAGTTTGTTTTGTTTCATCTCTCATGATAGCAGGTTGGGGTAGAGAAAAAACACAATGTGACATGAGGTGTCAAGCAAAAAGGGGGGAAAAAAGCATTAACCCAATAGAAGTAATTATAAAAATTTTTACTTTTAATGAGAAAGAAATCGATAGGTAACTTACTAAGTTTCATCAGTATAAAAGGTAAAAATCAAATCGTTCTTCGTTTTCACTGATGTTGCTACCATGATCAACTGTGGACATATTTATCAAGGGGCAACATTTGGTGTCTGTATTGTTGGAGCCAGATTGCTATGTTTGGCAGGTCTCACGGTGCTCTTGTGTGGGTTATCTATCCTGGGTGAGTTCCCTGCAGTGTCACGTGATGCCCTCAGTAGGAGCTTAGGGGAACCCACCCACTTCCCAGGTCCCCACTGCCTCCTTTACACAGGAGTGGCTAAGTGAAGCAAGCTAAATGTTTTAATAGAAGATAATTTTTCTTCTTAGAAGCATCAGACAACTCTCAGGAAGTTATTACTTTTATGAAGAGTCTGTTCTTGTTCAGGGGACTCTCTTTTTTTCAATCTTTGCCATTTTTGTTTAATTTTTAAATTATCAGTGTAGAACATCAAGTGTTATAAAATGCTTAAGTGACATCAGTCCGCACTCTTGGCTTTCATATAATGTACTTTTTTCCCCTCCACTTTTCCACTTAGCTTGGCTTACTCCTCTCTTCAATAGGTCACCCAAGTTCTCAACCTGGTACCTATTCCACTTTTTTACACTGGTTCAGGTAATCGCACATGTGTGCACACATCTCAACAAGGATGTGGCAATTATTTTACAAAGATGCCAAGATTATCCCTCCTTTTTTCTACTTTTCTCACTCTGCATTGGAAATCAAGTTAACAATTTTATTAAAATGCAAATTCTGATTGAGCAGAGATAGGGTGACCAAGATTCTGGTCAGCTCCCTGGTGGTGCTGAGCCTGCAAGACTGCAGGCCACACTGAGTGGTGAGGCACCAGGCACAGAAGTGATTTATTAGTGAAAGCCATGCCTAAGAACTGGGCAGAGATCAAGGAGTGGAAACTCAAGGAGTACTACGTCTTGGGTGCAGCCACTTGGAGAGTGTTAGGAAGTAGCCGTTGTTTGGGGTGTAGATAGATGGAAACACAGTGGCCACCCACCCACTAGAGCCAGCTCTTCCTTTCACACATTTCCTTCTTATCTTGGGTTATAATTTACTAGAATGAGTGGGGTGCTTTACATTTATTGATAGTCTTTCAAGAAATAATGTTCCAGATTAAGTCAAGTTATTCTGAGAATAATGAAGTGAATAGAACTAGAGATGAGAAAGAGAGATGAAGCAAGAAAGACAAGGTGTACTTTTTTTTTTTTTGAGTCAGAGTCTCACTTTATTGCCAGGCTGGAGGGCAGTGGCACGCTCACAGCCACCATAGCCTCGACCTGCTGGGCCAGGCGATCCTTCCACCCTAGCCTTCCAAGTAGCTTGAACTACAGACATGTGCTACCACGCCTGGCTAATTTTTCTTGATTTATTGTAGAGTTGCCCAGGCTGGTCTTCAACTGGTGGGCTCAGGCAGTCCTCTCACCTAAGCCTCCCAAAGTGGTGGGATTATAGACGTGAGCCACTGTCCCTAGCCAAAACGTGCTTTTAAGTCTGTGCTGGGCAACATGTGACAAGGGGCCACTTTTATAGGCAAAAAAACTCTACCACATTCTTGCTTTTGGAGGAGAAGGGGAGGACAATATTTTTACCATGTCCCTGATAACAATTCTTTCTCATCCCATGCAAGTTTAGAAAAATGCTTAAAGCTGTAATAAAACTTTGCTGTTTTATCCGAATTATCAGAGAATATGCCTACAGAGTGCTTTGAAAAAGTGGCTTTCAAAGGGGTGCTTGCTTTGGCAAATAGATGTTCAGTTTTTCCTTTGTAAGGGACAGTATTGGAAGCAGAAGTCAATGAAAGAGAATTCCAGTTTTGTGACCCACTTGGACCAGGTGAGTGATTGGGCCAGAGAACGGAAGGAGCAGCCACATTAACTCAAGCTTGGAATCGAGGCCTTTTGTAATGTGAGGACATGAGTGAGGGAAAGATAAACACACAAAGAGGTTATTATGCCAGTCTGATTGTGAGACTGCTATTTAACATATAGATAGGATTTTTATCTAGGAAAAAGCTTTTCAAAAGCCATTTACTAAATTAAGTCCCCAAAGATTTCGCCAACAATTTTCATCCACAGGCACATCATCAAACGCTTTTTTAAAGTTAACAATTCCTCTCAATATGCAAAAGCCAATACAGTCGCCCTTGGTATCCATGGGGAATTGGTTCCAGAACCACCTGTGGATACTCTGAAGTCCCAGAGGTAAAATGATGTATTTGTGTATAACCTGTGCCTCTCTTCCTGCATGCATAAAAAATCGTGTTTACAAAAAAAAAAAGGGTTCCAAGGTACATATCTATTATAAAAGCTTAACATTTAAATCATCTCTAGATTACTTATACCTAATACATTGTAAGTACTACGTAATTTGTTATACTGTGTTGATTTTTTATTTGTATTACTTTTTACTGTTTTAATATATTGTTTTTAAATGTTTTTCATCCTTGGCTGAATCTACGGATGCAGCTCCCCCAGATATGGAAGGCTGACTGTAACTTCACCTTTAATATTGACATAATGGAGCAACTCAACTGCATCCTACCAGTGTTTTGGAAAGCTGCCTCTTCTCTCAACCAACCCCAAGGGTAGTTTTGTTCTTGAACTTGGATAGAGTTTCTTTGCTTATTCACAAACAGGCTTAATGACTCAACAAAGTGGAACACAGCTACTATAATGCAGATTCTTAACTCCATTCTAGGTGTTTTGTTATTGTTCAATTCACTACATCAGCCAACTTTAGAGACAGAGAAAGACACGAAGTACCCAACTTCTATAAATGCATAAAACTTTAAATTTTCAGGACGCACAAACTTTGGCATGCAGAGACAGCAGGCCCTCAGCTTCACTGGGAGCTGCCCCAAGCCAAAGCTAGCCCTTGAACATTCACTCAAACTGGTGGATCGCAGTGGCGTTTTGGATCCCTGGGATGAGTCAATTGAATCAAAGTCTAGTATCCCTGAGGAACCTGGGTACTCTTTCTCAAGTATAAGGTTACCCTGCTAAGTGACTGTAGGTCTCTTTGGGGGAGACTAAGAGGAAACTTTACAGTATGCCTTTTTACTAGTGGGGTTGGGTTTTTCTTCCAGGGGACTCCAGGTCTGGGAAGCAGATGGCTCCATCTGGTGATCAAGGCCACGGCCCTGTTCACCAGTCCTAGAGGGCTACACTTTTGTACCTTTGGCAAGACCCCATGAGAAGAAAAAAACAAAAAGCATGTTTAAAAACCAAAAATCTTAAAGTCACATGCATAAAAAATCGTGTTTACAAAAAAAAAAAAAAAAAAAAGGGTTCCAAGGTACATATCTATTATAAAAGCTTAACATAGCTAAAATTCTGGGCTGTGCCCACAGAGGAGCAAAGGTGAGTGTATTATAAGGAAGTTTTGGATCAGGCACAGTGGCTCAGTCGTAATCTCAGCACTTTAGGAGACCAAGGCCAGAGGATTGCCTGAGCTCAGGGGTTCAAGACCAGCCTGAGCAACATGACAAGACCTCATCTCTACAATAAATCAAGAAATCAGCCAGATGTGGTGGCACACGTCTGTAGTTCCAGCTACTTGGAGTGCTGAGGCAGAAGGATAGCCTGAGCCCAGCAGGTCGAGTCTGCGGTGGCTTTGAGCGTGCCACTGCACTCCAGCCTGGGCAACAGAGTGAGACTCCAACTCAAAAAAAAAGTTTTGGCACATCTTTCTACCTGCTGGTCTCAGTCTAGTCAATGGAAACAGCCCTTCCAGCACTGAGAGCTGGTTCTAAATTCCAGACCAGCACTTACTAGTCCTGTGACTTCAGGCAACTCACTTGAGCTAGACATCCCACCCATAAGGTGGGTCCCGTCCTCTTTGCCTCTCCTAGTGATTGCAATACATATATCACATGAGAGAAGTTAAAATATGAGGTGGAATTTCTTTATCAAAAATTGTGTATTCTTATATGTTTAGACTTCAGTCACCTTCGAATTACTCTCCATTTGATGCAGTACACCTATTAAGATGTTTTTTCCACTGCTCAGAACAGTTTTAAATGCATCAATTTGGATATCTTTCAGTGCTTCTGCCATTTTTTGTTTCACCTCTTCCACATTGGCAAAACATTTCCCTTTGAGAGCTTTTTTCATCAGGGAAACAAAAGTCACTTACGGTGAGATCTGGTGAATAGGGAGGGCCGGGCAGGGGGTCACGCTGTTTGTGGTGCTCAGTGTGGTGTGGGCAGGTGTGCTCATAAATCACCCATCATGAAATGGGCAAATGCATTGAAAGAATCTCCAGAAAAATTTACTGAAGCCTAACGCAGCCCCTTGCAGCAATGCTAGCTGGTACACTGATGCCAGTGGGTTCCTAGAACATTCGCCTAGCAGGGGAAGCCTGTACTACAGGGGGCCCACCCTCCAAAAGATAATTGTGTTTTTGGGGGGAGTGTCCCCCTCCTATATGGCAAACCAGAAAGCCTTGAGTTGGTACTGTATGTATAAATATACACATTATGTTTCCTCTAAGTAACAGAAAACAAGATTGCAGGCTAAATATGTGATATCTTCTGGAACATGAACCTGTTCACAGTTACTTAATTTCACATGTTAATGTGAAATGCTATAGAATGCTTCTTTCCTCACATCTTACTTCTCACTGAGAAAGTGCTGTCCACCCAAAAGGAGGAAGGTAAGGCAAAAATCAGTGTAAGTAGAGAGTGTAATTTGGCCCAAGCTCAGATTGCCAGCCCGGGAGCACAGATTCAAGTTGCCCTGAATATACGCTCTGATTAGCAACTCCAATTAGCAGAAATTACAAGTAGATTTTTAGGGAAGAGGCAATTCCTGAGTTGTCTACCAAGATTTACATTAAAATAACATGCTATTGATTGGCTATACCTCATTCTTTGTATCATGAATTCTAGGAACAAAAAGATAACAAGTGAGTCTGGAACAAAATGTCTTTAAACAATTGTCCTTCCAAAACAGTTAACAAGGAAAAAACAAAAAGAAAACCAAAAATTGTCCTGGGCATGGGTGTCCAAAGTATGGCAGAAGTCTCATACTCAACTCTCTGGGCCTGATATATTTTGCATACTCTACATAGCTAAGACTGGGCTGAGCTATTTTTCTTGGTGCCTATTTATAAATGTACCTCATAATTAAAATAATTTTGTATTATTCTCAAAGTACTCTCATCTGTTGTCAAAACTGAAGACAGAAGTCTGAATTCTAATAACCGAGATGTCTAACTTCCAGTTAACATGTGAAGAGCTTGAAAGTTGTCAATCCCCTCCTCACAACAAAAAAAGAAAGTGAAAAACTAAGAATCAACAACTTTTCTCAGATCTGTCAGAGAATTGGGGTCATGGGGTAAGGCACCTCCCCAAAAGTGGGAGCAACATGCAGAATACAGAGAATCATAGTTTATTCAAGATAGGAACAAGCTGCTGAAGCCAGCATGGAGTAGGAATATTTAAAGGGTAATTGACTACTTGCTGGAGATTGAGTGTGGACTATCTTACGCAATTAAAACCTCAGGAGCTACCACACTAGTGTGTTTTATCTCCAGGAGCCACCAGCTTCTCACTATGAAGAACTGAGAAAAATCCTCCCATTCTTCCCCAGGGGAAAGAATGCCCAGAAATATGCCCAGAGAGCTGTTTTTAACAGCTTGCCCTTAAGGGAAACTTTTACCAGGACCTAGCCAACTTGGGCTTTACCATAGCCTAACTAACCTGGTAGAAGGAAAATACCCAATTCCAACCACCTCTAGCCTTCTGGTCTCATCTTAGGGCTGGGTTCTCAACCCCCAGGGCCACAGACTGGCTGGCACCAGTCTGTGGCTTGTTAGGAGCTAGTTTGCACATCAAGAGGTAAGCAGCAGGCGGCTCTACCTGCTCTCAGATCAGCTGTGGCATTAGAGTCTCATAGGAGCATGAACCCTATTGTGAACTGGGCATGCGAGGGATCTAGGTTGCACGCTCCTTATTTAATGCCTCATGATTCTCCAACCCCAAGCCCATCTGGGGAAAAACTGACTTCTATGAAGCCAGTCCCTGATGCCAAAAAGGTTGAGGGCAGCTGTCTTAGAGAAGAAAAAAAAAAAAGACTGAAAAATACTTATGAAGGTCATAACCCAGAAGCAACAGGCTCCTTAAAAGACTGAAAACTGATCATAGAACTATAGAATGTTTTCCTTCCCCTCACATCTTACTATCATAGCAGTAAGACTTCTATATAATAACAAGATTACAGCTGAAAGAACTGCAAGGCTCAGACCCTATTTAAGAAGGGGTCTCTAGGGAAACCCAGAGACAATTGGGAGACAAAAACAAGGACACTAGAGAAAACTGTAACCTCTGACACAAAGCTACAACAAACAGTAAAAACAGCCTAACTCCCAGCCAGATAAACAGAAAACCTCACACCAATGGCCTATTTAGCTCAGTTCATTTTACCTGATACATCATATCTGGCTTTCAACAAAAAACTACAAGGCATGCTAAGAAGCAAAAATCAAAGAGTGAAGAGACAGGGCAAGCATCAGAATCAGACTTAGATATGGCAGATATTTGGGAATTATCAGACCAGGAATTCAAATAACTATGATTAATATACTAAAGGCTCTAATGTGAAAAGTGGACAACCTACAAGAACAGAGGGATAATGTAAGCAGAGAGACGGAAATCCTAAGAATTGAAATGCTGGAAATAAAAAATATAGTAACAGAAATGAAGAATGCCTTTAATGGTCTCATCAACAGGCTGGACACAGCCAAGGAAAGTGAGAGAGCTTGAAAAAATGTCAACATAAACTTTCCAAACTGAAAAGCAGAAAGATAAAAGATCAAAGGAGCTTGTGAAGGAATAGAATACCCAAATAAATGACCATTACAAAAGGCCTAATATATGTGTGATGGGAATACCAGAAGAAGAAGAAAGAGAAAGGAACAGAAAAAATATTTGGAGTAATAATGGCTGAAAAAATTTTTTGTTTTTTGATTTTTTGGGGTTTTTTTGAGTTGAAGTCTCACTCTGTCACCTAGACTGGCTTCGTTGCCAGTAGACTTCAGTAGAATGTTAAGAAATGTTAAAAGTTCTACAGAGAAAAGGAAAATGATATAGAAAATTGACTTACATCAAAAAGGATAGGTGTTGCAGAAGGAATACATGAAAGTAAAGCAATCTAATAATAACCAAAAACTGGAACCACCCCAGCACGTCTCCTGTTTAGAGTTGCTAGTTTGGTAACTGGTTTCCTTCCATCTTTGTAGTTCTTTTCTATTGCTGCTGACCAAAAACAACAAAACCAAAGAAAACAAAAACATCATGACAGTGAGAAAAGTGGCACAGTTGTATGACATGATTTTTATTTAAGATCCAGTTGAGGATGGAGATGAGGACACTGATTTCTTCTGCCTATTCTGTTACCCTGTGGTTTTGAGAAGCATGCTGAAATATTCATTGAAATAACAAGTCAGTTTTGATTACCTTCAATGGAATAGAAAAAATTAAAGGAGTTAACTCCCTTCCATTTGGTTGCTATTTGTTGATTTGTTATCTTCGCCAATAATACTGAAAACATAGTTTGGCAAACAGTCTTCTAAAGCAGAGATCAGCCAAGTTTGGCCTACCACCTGTTTCTGTAAGTTTTATTGGAACTCAGCCATGCTCGTTCATTTATATATTGTATTATTTATGAATAGTGTGTTATTTTGTATTTTATCATTTATGTAGCTGCTTTTGTGCTACGACAGCAAAGTTAGGAAGTCACCACAAAGATCATTTAGCCAGCAAAACCTGAAAGATTTACTGTCAGAACCTTTATGGGAAAGTCTGCCCAAGAAAGAAAGAGGATACTAATTTATGGAACTAGGCATCGTTCCTTTATTTATTTATTTATTTATTTATTTGAGTCAGGGTCTCACTCTGTCGCCCAGGCTGGAGTGCAGTAACATGATCACAGTTCACTCAACCTTGACCTCCTGGGCTTAGATGATCCTTCCGCCTCAGCTTCCCTAGTAGCAGTGACTACAGGAGCACACCACCATGCCCGGCTAATTTTTTGATGTTTTTGTAGAGATGAAGTCTTACTCTATTGTCTAGGCTAGTCCTGGACTCCAAGCAATCCTCCTACCTTGGCCTCCCAAAGTGCTGGGGTTACAGGCATGAGCCACCACACCCAGCTTCTTCTATCTTTTGTTCACTACTTTGAGCACTGTGCAAACTGGCTATATAAGGTCATTTTTAATATAGACTTTAATAACTATCTGAGGATAATAAATTGGTCCTTTTTCTTTTTTTTCTTTTTGAGTAAGAATCTCACTCTCTTGCCCAGGCTGGAGTGCAGTGGCACACTCATGGCCACCACAGCCTCGACCTGCTAGGCTCAGGTGATCCTTCCACCTCGACCTTCCAAGTAGCTGGAATCACAGGCACATGCCACCATGCCCAGCTAATTTTTTTTGATTTATTGTGGAGACGAGGTCTCACCAAGTTGCACAGGCTGATCTCAAACCCCTGGACTCAGGCAATCTTCTTGCCTCTGCCTCCCAAAGTGCTGGGATTACAGGAGTGAGCCGCCGCACCTAGCTGGCCCTAATAGTTGAGCCGATCATTGTGAAATCCCAAAACACTTAGTAGGAAAGTGACCTGTCTTCAGAATCCTTGCTTGTGTGGTCATTGTGGTCCTGGTAGGGACAATTTATTTTCTCCCATTCTACCCAGTGGCTTCCTGGACTGCAAGCACGGTGACTTACACTATCTCAGAGGGCTGTGTGTGTAAATTTTCAGTTCAACGCAAAGATTGATCCCAGACCCACAAGTTGTCAGACATCGTACCGAATGCCAGGGATGCAGGATGAGTAAGACAGCATATAAGGAGTTCATTGTTCACAGGATAGTTAACTGTTGTTTACCTTAAAGAGAAATGTATTTCCTCATCGCAGCAGTGAAGTTGGGCTACATCTTGGACCCTAATCAGATATCTGTTTACTTCTGTTAGAGTCTATAAAATCAAAAACAATATTAGAAGCACATGTAAATTTTTTTAAAAATAAACCATTTCCCTACTGCATAACCATTTTATATCCCAGAATATGCCAGTGTTGACTAGAACACAGTGTAGGTATCAAAAATTGAATGTTTTCATTGTTTATAAAACAGGCTTTCTTTAAAAGACTACAGTATTGATGAAGAAAACAATATTTGAGAATGTAGCCAAATTTTTTAAATAAATTATTGTTTGGCTTGCAAATGGCTTCCCATTTACAAATATGAAGGGAGGTATCACTGAGTGAATTGGTGCAGATTAAAAAGTCAAGCACTTGCACTGATCCAGTAATGAGTTTGGTCTCTTGGTGTGGAGAGTGATCAGGAGATAAAGTTCTGTAGACTCTGAGTTCCAAGGATTTAGATTTCATCTCCAATCTCCATTTCTCTTTTTCTACCAAATGTGCAGATCAAAATTATGACAAAACAACTTCATCTGGCTTCCCCAGTTTGACCAAATAAAAATATCATCTCCAATCAATCAATTGATTTTTTTTTTTTTTTTTTTTTTTTTTGAGTCAGGATCTCACTCTGACACCTAGGCTGGAGTGCAGTGACATGATCACAGGCCACTGCAGCCTTGACCTCCTGGACTCAGACGATCTTTCCACCTCAGCCTCCCAAGTAGCTGGGCCTACAGGTATGCACCACCACATCCAGCTAATTTTTTGATTTTTTGATTTTTTGATTTTTTTTTGTAGAGACAAAGTCTCACTATGTTGCTGATCTCAAACATCTGGGCTCAGGCAATCCTCCTGTCTAGGCCTCCCAAAGTGCTGGGATTACAGACATAAGCCACCATGCCCGGGACTCAACTGATACTTTATTTCAACATAATTCATATATTGAGCTCCTACTGTGTGTCAGATACTAGAAGACAAGTAAATCTTAGCTCATATACAATGGAGCTCCCAGTCCTGTGAATAAAGGATTGCAAAACAATGTAACAGGAATGTTCAGGATGGAAAATACCTAGGAAAGAGGCACTCACAGCTGGAGCTGATAGGGAAAACATTGCAAAGATGATGATTGAACTAGATTTTTAAAGACTGAGTAGTAGTTTATCCAGTAGAGTAGGAAGGCAAGGCAATTTGAACAAGAAAGAGTATGTGCAGATAGCACATGTGTAGAGAGAGGTTAACACTAGAGAATCGTGAATAGATCTGTGTGGTGGGATCACAAGGCAGTGGGGGAAGGTGTCAAAGAGAAAGGAGGGTGGGGCCAAATGATATTCTGTACATCCCACTAACAGAGAGTGAAAGGTCCTCGCTAACAGGGGACTTCTAAAAAATTTCAGATCTCTTCAATGTACAGAATTCTGCACCAGTGCTACCTGCAGAGAGAAAACAAATAGAACACATAGCCCTTTTCCTCAAAGAGTGTCACGATCGCAGTGATACTAATCGAGGAGCAAAAACTGCAGAGGAATCATGGGAGGGGGCAGGCCCACCGTGCCTCTTCTCAAAGAGCATCCTTGCAGATTCCAAGGATGTGAAATGAGAGAGCTTGGTGGGGCCTGGCGCGCAGCAGGCATCCCACAAGCGTTCTCTGCATTGGCATCTGTAGGCCCCCTTCTGCCAGTGACTGGAGGTCATGTTCATGTGCAGGAACATCAGAATACATACAGGGCACCCCCGGATGATTCTCTGTATATCTGAAAGCTGATCCTTCATATTGATGTTTTGCTTCATCTAGGGGGAAAAAGGTAATTTTAGGCAAACTAAAAGGGTGACTTTTTATTTATAAAAGAAATAGATTACAATATGTTATGGCACTTGTCACAATGGTTGGTATTTTCATATACTATAATAAAAAACTTCCATTTTCTGTACTCAGTTTTAAAACAAAGGCAAGTAACAAAACTGTATTAAAAAACCATCCTCAGGGCATAATGTGTTAGCAGCTTACATGCAGCTCAGACGCCAAGACAGTCAGCACAACCCAATGATGATGTTTTCAAAATGATAGCACGGTACTCCAAGATGCTTAGGCAGTTCTTCAGAGAGCAATTATGATCTCTGTACTTACTAGGGCAAGGAAGCTAATGAATATACTAAAAAGTACTTTCAGAAACAAAGCCTAATTTTACATTTTTTTCTTTTAGTTTTCTAGAACAATCAATCCAAATGCCTCATTCTTCAAACTTTCACAAAGATTTTGCTGTATTTGTACAGATATCTGGAAGCATTCTGTGCCACGTTGTTTGGCTTAGAATAGATGTCCTTGGTGTTCAAAATCACTGAACACACTTATTGATTTAGCATTAAAAGGATGAAAGACTTTGAAGCAAAAAACACTAGAAGAAGATAAGGCATCTCAGGATCTCTGAGAGAGAATACCACTAGAGCATTGTCACATTTGTAAAGGACACAGATTCTTATCAGCTACCAACCTGATCTATATAACCTTTATAATTTCGGATGTGGTCAGCCGCAGCGGTCAGGTCCCCCCGGTCAGTATGTTCCGCAGGGGTGTGAAGCCTCAGAGCGTAGAGAAGATGAATGTATTCTTCAAGTCTTCGGGATGGGTGTAACAGCAGCTCCGGCAGGCTGGACGAGACACAGAGGAGGGAGCTCAGGTCTCTATCTGAAGGTCCAGGAACGTCCCACCTCCCGATGCCCCAGGTGTGCTCCCTCAAAACGTACCTCAGCATTTTGGTGACAATGGTCTTATCATGCCTCTTCAGGAAAGCTCGGAATGATGGTATTATTTCTCTGCACTGAGAGGTGAGAATTATAGTGCCAAAACTTTGCTCTATGAGACAGCTGTAAAGCTCTCTGCTCCACTGAGCAAGCATGACCTGTAGAACGCTCAAAGCAAAAGGGCAACATCTACCCCTAATCGGTCCAAGTATTGTTAGTACTATGGGTATTCTCCTAACCGATTAAATATAGTGTACTCATTATGCATAGACCTAATCCTGTGCATTGAACTCAATCAGTATAGACAAATAAGAACAGGCTTTGCAATCAGGTAGACCTAGATTTGAATTTGAATAAACTGAATATGTAACCTTGTCAAGTTATTCAGCTTCTCTGAGCCTCAGCTTTCTCATCTGTAAAATGGACATCACACCTTATTCTTGTGGAAAAATAATCCTATCCATAAAGTGCCTGTCACAGGGTAAATGTTATTTCATTATAGTAAGAGCTTGGCTGTTAATGGTATTCACCTTTAATACTGCTATTAATCATGTTTGCTATAGTAACATTATATGGGTGTTTCACTATTTAATAACTGTTTTCAAATGTTTCCACTTACCACTATTGTGAAGTTATCTCCTTTTACTAAAAATCAAATATTCACTGATTTCAATAATATTAATAGCTGACATTTATTGAGTCTTACTTCTAAGCACACACTGTGCTAGTGTATAGTAGCTAATAGATATCGCTACTATACTAGCTGTAAAAATTTGGGCACCAATTTTTTTCTGATAACATGGGATGCTTCGCTCCAATTCTTATCCTCAAGGTCAGTTCTATGAAATTGTCTTCTTCATGCAACCTTTGCACCATCAAGTTGCCCGTCAGTGACTAAACTCCCCGAGTGGGATTGAGGGAAGACTGCAAAGGAGGCTGTCTGAGGGCAGGAGTTACCCAACAGCCTGTGGGCCCACAGGCCTTTCTTGCAGGGCCTCGGTGAAGACATGTGAGCACAGCGGACACAACAGAAGTGTGCTGCTGTGTCACAGGTTGTCTCTTCCACCACCCCTTGCTACAAATAGAGGAAGGACAAAAGGTGGGCCTTATCAGGGAAGAAAGAGAGATCTGATTCCCATCAGAAGAGACCCCTGCAAGGCAGCAAACGATGCAGAGGGGAGGTAGACGTTCCCACTCAGAGTAAATAATGGCGTACATCACAACAGGAAGAAGTGTTTATCCTGAACTCTAGGAGACGGGAGACCAAGAAACTCCTTACTGCATAGTGAGATTTCATAAATTAAATGTTCTTATTCCAAGAAATATATGGATCATCAATTCATTGTCTACATAAGAGAGCTGAATTAGTCAAGGCCACCCAAGATTATAGCCACAGAGTGGAATCCAAGTTCAGTCTGGCTTCTACCTTTTTTTTTTTCTCAGTAGAGACAAGGTTTCACTATGTTGCCCAGGCTGGTCTTGAACTCCTGGGATCAAGCAATCGTCCCTTCTTGGCCTCCCAAATGTGGGATTACAGGTGTGAGCCAACACACTGGGCCAAATTGCTGAGCATTTTCCTGTAACTGAGACATGGTGTATCTGGGGCAGATGAAAGTTTGACAGTTTGTATGAGAATTCTAACAACTAGTCCCTGGAACCCTGTGCTAGCCCCTAAGTCAGGGTCCCTGCCCTCAAAGAATTCATAGTGTATGGGAGGAGAACAGAAAGCCAACATCCGAGAAGCCTTCCTTTTAACTCTAGTCCTTTGGGTTGCACACATAACCTCTTTTTGAGCTCAGAAGGCCTAACAGAATAATAGGCTGGTAAATCAGTCATTTACCTTCTCTATTGTTTTCAGAACCACAGGGTAATTGTTGAAGAAATTGGTATATGTGTTCAACTGGCTTCCAAACTTGATGACTATGTCCCCCACACAGTGAGCTGGGTCCCATTCCTGCAGTCTGTCTCTCAGGTCTTCTAGAAACTGCCTACAATAGAAGAAAAGCATAACCATGAAATACTATCTCGGAATCACCTACAAATTCACGTCATCGTCATTAGCGCAGCCGTCTTCAGCCCTCCATTTACAGCAGGATTTGGTCAAGTACTCTTTGCTTAACACAGAGCCAACTATACTTGACAGGAAAGGGGGGGCTGGAATACAGGTGTTTGGGCTGGAATCCAGGGGATTAGGCTGGCTGTGGTGGAATCCCACCTCTTCACTTCAGTTCTTTGAGTCAGAACCCCACGCTGGTCTCAGTACACTTGCTCCTGAATGTCCTATTCCTGTGGGTGATGGTTCTTAAAGTCTCCAGAGGACAGTGCTCCACTGGTCTCAACAGCTGAATGCCACATCCCCTGCTCAGTCCATTTGCCTGTGGAACTAAGGAAATCCCTCTTTCAGCCATCACAGGCCTTGGAAACTAGAAGAGGCCTAGTCCAACCTCTTCATTTGGTAGGAATTGGGGCCCACTGAGGTAAGAAACTTGTTCCAAATTACCCAGAGAGTTACTGTCAGAGAAGCACACGCTCAGTTTGTCTTCCTTTACCATAGGTAGAGATGGTCACTTTTCTCTCTCATGTTATACACTCAGAAACCCCCAGGCTTGGGCTGTCTAAGTAATGGGTACTTGTGGCTTAATCCTGTTAAATCCCTCAGTCCCTTTCCCATTGCTCGACTGAACACTAATTAAGAATGGCTTTCCTTCCAGTTGCCTTTTGTGTGGACAGTGTATTGGCTACAGAATGAGAGGCCCTGAATGCTATTCTTTGAACAATTCAATGGCCATGAACTGGGAAAGAGAGGTCCTGGAACTCATCACTGCTGGTCTCAGCCCGGCGAGTCATGTGATGGGGAGCCTTTCTCCTCTATGAGGTTACCATGACCCCCAAGAGGGGCAGAGAATGCTGAACCTCCATGCTGCCACTGAAACAATAAAAGTGGGTTTCTCTTCACCACACAATGGATAATCTTTAAAAATACGGGATTTACCTGTTGAGACTTAAAATTCGCAGAATATCAGAGAATATGATCTGGACATTGACAGCACTCAGAATTGCTCGGTTTGATGACAGAGCTGCTTTCAGTGGTGTCACATAAACATCTCTCACAATTTCTAGCATCTGCACGAATTTTCTCTCACTCTGGAAGAGTTCTCTGACAACATGAGTACGCTTTTCTGCTGAGCCTGTCTGGAGCTTTCTCTCCTGTAGAAAAGCATTAAGAACTCAGAAAAAGCGTCCTGACGCTTTGCAGGCTTACAGCCTCCAGAAGTCTGCTAGTTTGCGGTGATGGAGTATCGAGCAGTCGGGCAGATACATGGATGGAGATCCCTCCTTTCTGGTTTGAGATATACAAAGGTTGAAGAGAAACTTCATAGGGGAGCATGGAAGACACTGCTGGCCATCGCTTGTCCCCAGTATCGCCAAATGAGTTAGCCTGATGCCTGAGTAGAGGGGAAACTTTTCATCTTGGCTCTCAAGAAGGGCAGCTTGAAACCTTACTTCTTCTATTCATCTATCCTTTCAAATCTAATCAGTGTCTCAGCAGGGCGCTAGCTATGTAATGATGCGAAAGAGTCCTGACCTCCTGGAGGTTACAGTCTAATGATGAAGCCTCTGGGTTGTCCCCTCGTCTTTGTTTTCTTTTGCCCAGTAGTGTTTTTATTGATTATCCTGCAGTTATCCTGAATAACTGAAATGAGTTCACCTTCTGCTATGGTTTGAATATATACCTTCCAAAACTCAGGTGTTGCCAATGTGATCATATGAAGAGGTGGGGGTCTTTAAAAGGTGATTGGGCCATGAAGGCTCCTCCTTGGTGAATGGGATTGGGTGTCCTTGTGAAGGGGTTGGGCCAAGGGATTTGGTCCTCTCTTGCCCGCCTGCCTTCCAGCATGTGAGGATTCAGTGAGGAGACCCTCAACAGGGGCCAGCACCTTGATCTTGGACTTCCCAGCATCCAGAATTGTAGTAAGTGAAGTTCTGTTCTTCATAAATTACTTGGTCTCAGATATCCTTTTATAGCAGCATAATCTAAGCTTAACATCCTCTCATTTTTAACAAATTTACATGATTGGACATGCAAACACACGTTTGTATCTTTGGAAGTTTGCAACGTGAAGGTTCATATGTAGGGGACTTACTGTATATATCTTTAAATATTGGAGTTATCTAATAATTATAATCTTTCTAACTTAGAATTTTTGTTGTCAAGCACTTTATTGTTATCTTAAAACCACTGTCAGGAATTATTACCGATAGTCAGATGAGACACTATCATATTTACTGCACCATGTAAATACATTCCCTCTTGGTGTTCCTGGTGGTAAATTTAGGAGTAAGCACCCACGCCTTGGGGGTCCACAGCTTGCACTGTCTGCAGCAGGTACATCAGGATGTCTGCCCGGGAAGGCCTTGGGGCTGAGTTCAAGACTTCAGGATGTAAGGTTTTTCGCACTCAACTGAACTCAAGAAAGCCATTGAATGTCTCTAATTCTTTGTCAAGAAAATGTGGCTAGTAAACAGCTACCTCACAGGATTCTGAGAATAAAATGTAATGAAGAATACATGTGTTGAAGAATAGAAAACACACGCATGGATTACAGCAGGGTGGATTACAGCCTCTGTTGATGCTGCAGCGCCTTTCACACACTGCCTTTTTCACACAGCAAGACGGAGCCCTAGTCATTGTCTTAATTAGAGTCAACTTTTGAAGTCAGACTGTAAGTTGACAGATCAACCGGAAACTAGAAGCCTGTCCACATGCCATTTCTTTGCATTACATCCTAGAGCAGAGCATCGTGGACTAACATACAGATTGGTTTTGCTCCAAGATGCTACACCTCCATCCTTCTGGCTCCACTTGTTTTCAGTTCATGGCTTATTCACAAGAATAGGTGGTGGCTCAAGCCTGTAATCCCAGCACTTTGGGAGGCCAAGACAGGAGAATCGCTTGAGCCCAGGAGTTTGAGTCCAGCCTGGGCCATCCAACAAGACCCCTGTCTCTATTTTTAAAATTTAAAAAAAATTTTTTTAGAGAAGTTTGCCTGTTAATCAAATGAATCCTCCCTCCAGGCTGGGTGCAGTGGCTCACGCCTATAATCCCAGCACTTTAGGAGGCTGAGATGAGAGCATTGCCTGAGCTCATGGTTTGTGACCAGCTCGGGCAACTTAGCGAGACCTTATCTCTACAATAAATCAAAAAATTAGCTGGGCGTGGTGGCACACACCTGTAGTTCTAGCTACTTGGAAGGTTGAGGCAGAAGGATCACCTGAGCCCAGCAGAGGAGGCCGTGAGTGTGCCACTGCACTTCAACCTGGGTGACAGAAACTCCAATTCAAAAAAAAAAAACCCTACGCCCCCGCCTCCGTTATATTTGGGTTTTTTAAATCCCCCCTAGGGAAATTTTCAAGGAAAATGAAGAAAGAACTAACCAGAATAAAGGCTGAAGCTTCATCAAATGGTCAATTCACATTATGTACTAGTTGGCTTACCAGATTAATCAACACTTCAACATTTAGATCACTCTTGCTGAGACTTGACTTTGTGTCCTGAGAATTATCTTTCATAACGTTTCTTTCCTGAAGAATAAACAGAGTTGGTTATTTGGAATAGACCTTGGGATTCCTGAAAGCTCAGACAGTACTGTGCCCCCAGGAGGCCCTCAGAAGCCATCCTGCTCAGTCATGACCAGTGTTCCCTAGACATGGGGAACTGAGTACTTGACAAGTGAGAAGCCTCTCTTAAGTTAAATTTTATGTTTTTTTTTTTAAATAGCCCTTAGCTGCTTTTGATCTACATCATACTTGATTAACTACACCCCTGGAAGCTCCCTTTTCCCTGGGAGGCGAGGGCACACTTTGCAAGGGTCCCTCAGGCTTATGAAATCACCTTTCTTGCCTCCTACCTTTTGCCTCTTGCCTGCTCTTTTGCTTCTAACCTGGGGGCAAATAGGTTATCTCATGTCTAAGATGCCAGAAGAAAAGCTCACAACACCTTACAAAACTCTCCCCTTTTTTCATCTAATGAAAGTGTATCATAAACAGTTCAGGTGCCCTTTCTAGACCTGCACATTTAACTATGCCTCCTCCTTTCTTCACTTTACCTGGTTCACTGTTATTGTCGTGGCCTCCATAGAAATTAGCATATTAAAAAAATAGTCCTCCAGGCCTGCATGGTGCCTCATGCCTGTAATCTCAGCACTTGGGAAGGCAGTAGTGGAGGCAGAGGTGGAAGGATTGCCTGAACCCAGGAGATTGAGATCACCCTGGGCAACAAGACTTTGTCTGTACAAAAAATAAAATAATTTGGGTGTGGTGGTACACACCTGTAGTCCAGTTACGCAGGAGGCTGAGACAGAAGGATCATTTGAACCCAGGAGGTCGAGGCTACAGTAAGCGGTGATCCTGCCACAGCAATCTTGCCTGGACAATGGAGGAGACCCAGACTCAAAAAGAAAAAAGGATGTCTCCCACCCCACAGTGCAGCACCCAGGGTCCACCCTAGCAACGGAACAACAGTCCCATGTTTCTGTTAAGAGATAAGAATGATTAATGTTCATTACTGCTGCCTTCCTGATCACAGATAAAACCACCAGTGGTAACAATTCCTTGGTGTCCAGGAGGAAGGTTGGAAGAAAAGTCTCAATCTGTAACCAAGACTCCTTTTACCTGACTCTACTCAGGCAAAAACACATTTTTATTTTGTAGCTGCAGTGGTCCTAGTGGCAGCCTGACGCCTTCATCCTGGAGCCCTGGCCCCTGAGTTGCATACAGGCAACCGGGCTAGTCCAGGATGGCAGGGGGTCCCCCCTGTGTCTGCTTCAGGGCATCTTTGAATTCTCTCTCTGTCCTCCCTCCTTGTGGCTGTCCCACAGCAACCTGGCATGGGTTTGCACTGACGGCTGGGGGAACAATCTCCTTTGAGTTTTGACAAATCATTCACATTTTCTAAGTGGAACACTCTCTTCTTTTAAAATAAGGAATAGTGCTGATTGTTGATAGTCAAGAAATAACCTCAGTGACTCAGTGTTGACACCAATAGCTGTGTAGGTGGGAAGTGGTTGCAAACAAAATAAAAAGCAAACCCACGCTCCCCGGGTCAGGCAGTAGATAACCCAAACAGCACAGAATCATACTGTGGACCTCGGAGATAAGGGGGTCGTCGCGACCTGGGCCACCAACCTACTTCGCAGACACACATGAACATTCAGGTAGTGAAATTCAGGTGTCAGCACAGACAGCCAGGCTTGGTTATTTTATTTATTTTTTAGAGGCAGCATCTTGCTTAGTCATCCAGGCTGAAGTGACCGTGGCTTACTGAACCTTGAACTTCTGAGCTCAAGCTCTAGTAATCTCCCGTTTTAGCCTCTCTCAGACTCTCTAGGCTTCTCTCAGTCTCTTGAGTAACTGGAACTACAGGCACACATCACCATGCCCAGCTAATTCTATTACCTTTTATAGAGATGGAGACGGGGTCTTGCTCTGTTGCCTAGTGCTGGTCTTGAGTCCCTGGGTCAAGCAATCCTTCTGCTTCAGTCTCCCAAAGTGCTGGGATGACAGGGGTGAACCACCATGCCTGGCCTGCCCCCGTGGTTATTTCAGAACCTGCTCACCCATAATGGGACTTTGTTTCACTTCTGCTCAATATCAGCTACTTTTTTAAAATATAATTTTTTATTTGTGGATAGGAAATTGGTTTGTCATAGTATTTTGTTTGAACCTAAAATTGGTAGCTTTACTCATTTTATATTATACATTCCATTACTGAATTCTTTTAGTTTATTTTAGATTAAGAAGCCATCTCAGCTGGGCGTGGTGGCTCACTTGGTGAGGCCTAGGCGAGAGGACTGCTTGAGCCCGGGGAATTCAAGACCAACCTGGGCAACATACCGAGACCTCGTCTCTACAAAAAACAAAACAAACAAACAAAAAAACACACCAAAAACCAATCTCTTAGTTTTTAGGGACAAATTAACAGAAACAACAAATTTTGCACACTTACAAAAAAAAAAAAAAAAAAAAACGATTATCTTGGTTTGGTAGGTGTTTTGCCTTAGCTCTCTCCAAGATAGATAAAGGAGAGATGTCAGAAATAAGCTTGCAGAGCTAGGCTGTGAATACAAGGAAGGAATTTTCCACTAGGATGAAGCATAGGCAGACTCTAAATTTTCCAGAGACATTCTAGTCATTGCTGATGCTTCTGCCAGCAAACACTCTGCTCCCTGGAGCAGAGGCCAGAGACAGTTGTGAAAAATGACTGATAGAGCTCAGGAACAACTATGATTCCAGCTGCCACCCCCCATCGCCATGGTTGCATGGCAGTAGATAAATAACTGTAAACACTACAGACAGACAAAAAGCAGAAGTTAAATAATGATTGGCAGTAAGAGGATAGGTAGATAGATCGATGAAAGCTAGATGATACAGATAGATAATAGATGATCGATAGATGGTAGAGATAGATAGATGACAGACAGACAGACAGACACACAGAGTCTGGAATTTGACAGACAACGTTTATTACACAAGACCCTGTGAAAAGGTCTTTAAAACAACTATCTCAGAGAAGCTTTAGCCTTCCCTTCCTGTAGCTCCTAAGGCTTCTGAATGAATATTCACAGTTTAAAAAACAAGCCTTAATGTATCCACTTTCCTATTTTATCATAATTCAATACCTCCATTTCTGCTGTGGCTTTTCCTCTTAGAGGTCCCCAGATGTGTTGTGTTCATGAGAGTTTGTGAAAAGATGAATTTAGGGGCCGGACTCCAATCTATAAAGGGCTTAGATACCCCTGGAAAGGCATTTATTTATGTGCAAGCTCTTTAGTGTTAAATAATAGAAAACCAAATGAGAATCTAACATCTATGTTTTGTCATTTGATTTTAAAAAGAAAAACATCATAGAAATGTCTAGGCATCAAGGAGTTTTGCATTTCTCCAGGATTATTATAGGCAGACAATGTAACGGCAGAGGGCCTGATTTCCAGCTATGAGGCAACTTTAAACACAAATATCATGCATTATTTTATTAACATAGCTAGATGTTTGTGTCAACAGGAGACTGAAAAGACTTCGTTCAGTGTGAATTTTATTTGGCAGGAAAAAATCAAAGAAAGTCCGAGAATGAAAGTGTCTTTGACAGGAAGTACTCCAAGTGACCATTTCCTTAGGTGTCAGAAGATTCCAGAAATGGTTCTCACAAGCAGTTAGGTCTTCCGAAGGTAACACTTCAAAGGGGGAAACATCTACAGTTTGGTCCTCATTTTTTTCTTACTCTAAAGAGGGGCATTTCTGGGGTCTGTATGCCTGGGGTTGGGATGACAGCTTCATCTTTAGGGATAAAAGTGGATGGAAGATCTCAGGTAAAGCTTTTAGAGAGTCAGGAATCAGCAGATGTGGAAAGGACTTTGGAAGAATCTGGAACTATAACATGGCTACGTGCTGATCATTCTCTTTAGTGAACCAATGGAAAAAGAGTGGGATCAGAGATCTGGTGCTATTTCTCAAAGGCATTCACAGACTGAAAGATGGATGGGGACTATATCCATCCCTTTGAAAAAATAATCTCCGAGAGTCTCAGAGATGTCAGCTGCTGTAACAAGGCAAAAGAAGCAGCCTCTGAGAAGTAGAAAGGGGCATCTGGGTTAAACACCCACCCCGTGTTCCCACCCTAGCCTGCGCATTCTGTGAACAGGCACTAATCACACTACCTCGTGGATTTTTGTAGGTCTCATCCACACACAGGTGAGGATGGTGTCTTATTTTGCTATCTATTCCCAGGGTCTAGCACATGGTTAGCTTCTGTAAATATTTAGGGAATGGAACTGAAGAGATGGGAGTTACATCTTCTGAGAAGATGTCCATGAGAATTTGTGAAAAGATGAATTTAGGGGCCGGGCTCCAATCTACAAAGGGCTTAGATACCCCTGGAAAGGCATGTATTAAGATTCCTCTTAGGGAGATGCTTGTGGTCAGGAAGAATAAGCCACTTGGGGAGAAAGGGGAGGCTTAAACTGAGGGTCATGCTGTGGTAACAACAGAAGGCTGGGTCTGAATGGCTGCAGGCCTTTCACGTAGCTGAGTTCATTTAGGGCAGCTTGGCAGAGGGGACGATGCCACTATCTCTGTGTTGCATCTGCCCTGTACCATGCCATCCTCTAAAGAAGCACTAATAAATATTCCCAGAATCTCAGATTAATAGGGCAACAACGATTTGCCTGCTAGGGGAACTCACGTGTCTATTCCTGCTGAGTCTCCATGGTGAGGTTGTGCTGGGGAGTGGCATGCCAAGCCTTCAAACACATTAAATGGTTCTAAATTGACAATTTCCCCTTCATGGAAATCAGCTCTATGAATGGCAATGCAATTCTCAGTATTTCCTGAATTCTGGTTATTTCATGTGACCAAGAATGTATAAATTTTGAACACAGTACTGGCAAAAAAATTTTTTTCCCAAAGAATTAGCTTCAAATTCACTTTTTTAAAAAAATGAATTTGAATCTTAAGACAAAAAGAGAACTATTCTTGGTTTTACGGAGGAAAACAAAACTTTTAAATTTTATTTCAGGACTCAACTGAACAAGCAGCAAAGCAAAATGTCAATTTCTAACCCTCCCCTAGGACCAAATAGTGTTACCCAACTCAAAGTGGTGCAGCTTATGCTTTTAAGTGGCTTATGTGTAATTCTTACTATGAAACCTCAAACACCCTTTTTTGTAATAGCCCATGAAGTTCTTAGGAAAAATGACATGTTAAAAGACTTCCGGGTAGAACTAGTCTTATTGATTATACATTTCTTCACCACGTGTGTCTAACTCTACAGTAAACCAATGACATAAAAATGCAGCAAGCAACTTTACCTTCATGAACAAATTGAATGTTGCCTTTGGCTCACATTTTGTCAGAATAACATTTTCTTCACAATCTTGACTTTTTTTACCACATTTCTTCAGCAGGAAATAAGACAAAAATTCCAGAGGTTTGTCCTAAAAAAAATGCCTTCCATTTATTTTTAAAACATTCGTTTGAAATAAGTCATCCAAAGTGCAGCAGAAAATAGAACACATTTTTTAAGAAGAGTTTTTAAACTTTCTACCTAATAAAATGAATGTGTATGTCCAGAAATCAAAGTAGCTTAATTAGAGTCAGTAAATGGGACTTTTTAGTTACTTTCATATTCCATTTACCAAATACACTCTTGGTTCTCAAGTTTTTGTTACAATCCAGTTAGGATGCCAACATCTCATGGGAGGGGTCTCTCAAGATCTCCGGAACCAAAGAGGCCTACCCTAACCTCTTGGACAAATGAGGAAAGGGGGCCCCACAGACTGGGAAAAAATATTTGCCAACTGCGTATCTGACAAAGGCCTAACATCTGGGATCTACAAGGAACTCAAACATGCTGAAAGAAAAAAAAAGTGGGCAAAAGATATGAACAGACTCTTCTCAAAAGACGACATAGGAGTAGCCAACAGATACATGAAAAAAGGCTCAGCCTCACTAATCATCAAATTAAAACTATACTGAGATACCACCTAATTTCAGTCAGGATGACCATCAACAATAACAAAAAACAACAGATGCTGGAAACAACACTTCTACACTGTTGGTGGGAGTATAAACTAGAACAACCTCTATATAAAACAGCGCGGCGATTCCTAAAATCTAAAAATCAACCTCCCATATGATCCAGCAATCGCCCTTCTGGGAATATACACGTAGGAACTCAAATCATTCGACGCAAAAGATACCTGCGCATGCATGTTTATTGCAGCACTCTTCACAGTAGCAAAAACATGGAACCAACCGTGCTGCCCATTGAAAGTAGACTGGATTTAAGAAATGTGGTACATATACATGATGGAATATTATGCAGTCATAAAGAAGGACACAATCATGAACTTCACAGCAACTTGGATGGATTTAGAGTCTGTAATACTCAGTGATCTATCACAGAAATAAAGAGCTGAGTACCACATGTTCTCACTCATAAGCAGACCCTGAACAATTATCATAATACTATAAGAAAGGGATTGGCAGTAGTGGGAAACTGCCAGGGGAGGGAGTGGGGTGGGGTATACTTTATCCATAAGGGTACCTGATCTCAAACCAGGTGAAGTGGGGACCAAAGCGAGGCCCAAACTTTACCTGTACAAAGACCATTTGTATACCTAACCCTGAATTGCACCCTACATCTTTAAAATAAATTTTTTTTTAAAGGGGGGGCCGGTGGGATCTTATCTTTCAGAAAAAGAAAGAAAGCCTGGGAGAGAGGCCACAGCAGCAGACTTGCTGGGTAAAGCACCCTGAGACCCTCAAATTTGTTTCCCTCTCAGGCTATAGATTTGAGCACCATCAAAATTATATCATATATGGTTATTTTTAAATAATTAGGTGTGAGTAAGTATGCTGAACAAGCAATACATTTAGTAATTCTTTGGTGTTTTGGGAGACAGTGCAGGGTCATCTCTGTGAACATCCCTGATTATCATCTCAGCAAAGCTAGCCAGGGCCTCTACTCAGTGGGCTGCTCGAGCTTTGACCAGAGCACTGCTGAGCTGTCTTCAGAGAAGAAAAACTACAGCTAACTGCAGCTTCTCAGACTCCCCACGGTGTAGGACAGCTGAGCCTGGAGGTGTCCAGTGCTGACCCAGGAAGCCAAGTTGCAACCAGACAGACACGGGATAGTAAGGAGAGAGAGGTTGAGTGCATGGGTCACGCCTACAGTTCTAGCATTTGGAAGGCCGATTGCTTGAGCCCAGGAGTTGAGACCAGCCTGGACAATATAGTGAGACCTCATCTCTATAAAAAAATAAAATAACCAGGTATGGTGGCACTCGCTTGTAGCTCTAGCTACTTAGGAGGCTGAGGTGGAAGGATCGCCTGTGAGCCCTGGAGGTCAAGGCTGCTATGAGCCGCAATCGTTGTGATGGTGCCTTTGCACTCCAGCCTGTGCAACCCAGTGAGACCCTGACTCAAAAAAAAAAAAAAAAAAGAGAGAGCGAGAACGTGTGGAGAGACATTTCATCAACAAAATAGAATTAACAACAGTTGAAGACAAGGGTTTGAGAATCTTTCCTTGGAAAATGAAAAGACCTTATATAGCATCAAAATCATTCCTATTTCTGACTCTCCCAAAATAGCAGCGTATTTCATTTGCCTACAGCCATGCTAGCTAGGGTTGGGAGAACAGGTCCAGAGAGTGGCCTCTTCCCACTGTATTCTAAAACATGGGCTGACTTTCATGGGACAGTGTCCAGGATTTGTTTCTGATGAAAATATTCCTTTGGACTTCTACCTGCGTTCCCAACCCAATGACTGATTTCCTGTTTCTGGTCTCTTGTGTTCTCTTTCCCTTCCTCTCTCATTTAGTCCCCTTGTCCTTCATCTTTTTATAGCTGGGTTCACACCTTCTCAGGGTTTTCCTCATACTAGTAATTGGTTTCACAGTTGAATAATGTTTATGTGAAATATAAAGCCACTGACATGTTTTTTAAAGAAGTCACTTCTAACTGAAATCAAGCACAAGACAGAGAACAGTGCACAGTACACTTTAAATAACCTGGAAGATTTTTCTACCTGTCTGTTTTGTGTACCTAATACATCTTGGACCCAGAATCTCTCAGTGGCCAATGTAATTTCTCTGAGGAATTGTGCTCTGAAAGAAATAAACTGGTAACAAATGATACATGCAAACTAAGAATTTTTTTAAATGTTGGGGTTTCTATAGGTGTGCTTTCCTCAAAGAAAAACTTACAGAATCTCCTTTCAACAGCTCCATCAATCCATCTGCCAGAACTTGTGCAATTTCTTGGTTATTCAGCATGCTGGCCATATTCATGGTGTCAAACATAAACTGCCCTGTAAACATAAGGCCATTTGCCCTGTAATTAATCTGTGTAAGAGATGTGATCAAAAGAAAGCTTCTCGGTCCTTACAGTTGTTTTTTAGTGGATAAAAATGCAAAGGATAGGAGTAAACATTCTATTATGCAATGAGGATTTCTATTATAAATAAACCAAAGCATTTTAAATGTGTAGCATAAAAAAAGTCCCCATCCTGGCAAAGCTGATAGTGAATGAAATCTACAAAGTAGATGATAAGGAGAGACCACGTAAAAAGGAACCCTGTAAGTTTAAATATGAAATTCTCACTCCTATTAGACATTCCTCTACACTCCCCTTTATCTTTGTTCTCAAATATGAAAATATTTTAAGCCCATAAGCAATAACATACAACCATACATACAAATATTTTTTAATTTTTAAAATATTTTGAACATTCGGCATTTATTTGAAAACAACTTTTCCATTGACTGCATATATCTCATTGCCTGTACATATCATCAAAAAATACTTCTGTCTTTAAAATTTTACCTTTCCAGCCAGGTGCAGTGGTTCATGTCTGTAAACCCAGCACTTTGGGAGGTGGAGGTGAGAGGATTGCCTGAGCCCAGAGGTTTGAGACCAGCCTGGGCAACTTGGCAAGACCTTGTCTCTAAGTAAATAAAAATATTAGTCACGTGTGGTGGTGGCACGCCTGTGGTTCCAGCTACTTGAAGGCTGAAGCAGAAGGATCACCTGAGCTCAGTAGGTTGAGGCTGCAGTGGCTGTGAACATGCCATTGCACTCCGGCCTGGGAGACAGAGTGAGACTCTGACTCAAAATAAATTAATTAATTAAAAGGTCACCTTTCCAGTTTTCTTTCTAGTCCTTAATATCTATGAAAGGATTAATTTCTCCCTGCTCATAGCTTCATGACTATTTTAAAATATTGGTTCGACACCTCTTGAATGTGATAAAGAAGGTAGTACAAAAACAAACAAACAAACAAAGACAAATCCCTGTTTGGAGGCGTTTATGTAAAGAGATATAGGGCATATATTGACAGATAAAATACCTGCATGCACACTTGTGTGTTACAGCTCTTGTGTAAACAGTAACTATGTAAATAGACCTTAAATAAGGAGTTGGGCAGGGGGAAAAAAAGCAAGGCATAGATGTGGAGTGATTTGATTGATATGGTGTTGTAGTCAGGTGGTAAGCATTAGGGGAAAAAATGGAATAGGTAGTTACAAATGCGGGAGAGGGGGTAGATTTCTTTATCCAGAAGGTGAAAAAAATATTATATTTTTACCTGGCGCTGTGGCTCACACCTATAATCCCAGCACTTTGGGAAGCAGAGGCAAGAGGTTTGCCTGAGTCCAGGGGTTCGAGACCAGCCTGGGCAACTTGACGAGATCTCGTCTCTACAATAAATAAAAAAATTAGCCAGGTGTGGCAGCACATGCTGTAGTTCCAGCAACTTGAAAGGCTGAAGCAGAAGGATCGCTTGAGCCCAGCAGGTCGAGGTTGCGGTGGCCGTGAGCGTGCCACAGCACTCCAGCCTGGGCGACAGATTGAGACTTCAACTCAAAAAAAGAAAGAAAGAAAGAAAAAGAAACAGAGAAAAAAATATTACATTTTAAAGAATGGACTGATTTAAGAGAAAGTTTAGACAGTAAATTGTTTCCAAAAGGCTCTACTGTGATCACTTGATCATGGCGATGGAGTGTGAATGAGAAAACAAATTCAGTGATGCCCCTAGAGCCCATAGGTTCGGCAAAGGCCCAGAAAGCCCACCACCAAATTACATATTTAGATAGAAAATAGGTAGAACTGGACTGGGGGTGGTGGCTCACATCTGTATTCCCAGCACTTTGAGAGGCCAAGGCGGGAGGATGGCTTGAGCCCAGGAATTCAAGTCCAGCCTAGGCAACATAGCAAGATCTTGTCTTTACAAAAAAACCATAAAAATTAGCCAAGGGTAGTAGCATGGGCCCACAGTCCTAGCTATTTGGGAGGCTAAGGCAGGAGGATTGCTTAAGCCCAGGGGTTTGAGGCTGCAGAGAACTGTGATCATGCCACTGCACTCAACCTGAGTGGCAGAGTGAGATACTGACTCAAAAAAAAATTATAAAAAGAAAATAAATAGAACTTAAATTGTAGAACAACTTATGTGATAGGTGCTGTGGTGTAAGAAGTGCTTAATTTTTCCAGCAAATTCTAGTGGGATTTTGGATTAGCAAACAGTAAATTTTGTCTAGATAGATCTCTGGCTTAGCAAACAGCAAATTTTGTCTAGATAAATAATTGACAAACATATGAATTAATTAGATGGTAACATTTTAAAATAGAAATTACCTCCAACATGTTAAACGTGAATATATTTGTTCTTATTCATTAGGCAATGTGGAAAACCTAGAGGATAAAGTTTCACTAAAGAAATTCGAGAGTGAATTTTTGCTTGTGCCATTCCTAAACTTTGTATTTGCTCTGGATATGAAACCAGTTTCACAATTAAACTTCGGCACAAGCAATGAGACTCACCTATCATCCTGCCACTGATGTTCTTCTGTAGCTCCTGGAAGAAGGGACGTAATTGCTTCCTTACTGACTTCAAGGCATCTTCCAGGAAGTCCATGAAGTTGGACCACATCTGCAACTTCGATTCGCTGAAGTAGATGGAAGGAGGGGTCCTTTCCCCCTGGGGTCCCAGCCAATCACTGAGAACTGACATGCATTTTCTCCTTTAATTATTGTGGACTTGAGTTCAGATGAAAGAATTCTACTTCTTATTTAAAGTACAACTTATATTTGTATTGAGTTTATTATCTTTTCTCATTAGAAGACTAAGATAGGCCAGGTGTGGTGGCTCATGCCTGTGATTCCAGCACTTTGGGAGGCTGAAGTGGGAGGATCACTTGAGCCCAGGAGCTTGAGAGCAGTCTGGGCAACATAGTGAGACCTCATCAGAAGAAAGAAGAAGAAGGGAGGGGGGCGGGGAGGAGAGGGAGGAGGAGGAGAAGGAGGAGAAGTGGAAGGAAGAGAAGATGACCAAGATAGATACTCGTGGTCTATTTTCAAAAATAAAATTAGGCCTAGGCACAGTAGCTCACACCTGTAATCCCAGCACTTTGGGAGGCTGAAGGAGGAAAATTGCTTGAGCCCAGGAGTTCAAAACCAGCCTGGGCAATATAGTAAGACATCATCCCTATTTTTAAAAGATGTTAAAAATCAGCTGGAGGCAAAAAGACTGCTTGAGCCCACGAGTTCAAGACCGGCCTAGGCAACATAGTGAGACCCTATCTCTACAAAATAAAAATTAATAAATAATTTTAAAATGTAAAAATCAAAACTCAAAAAGGACTCAGTGAATTATTTCAATGCCTGCCTACTCTTTGATAGACATAGCTGTCATATGCTATTTGAAATTAAAAACTAAATAGCTGCTGATTATGCATTGGGAATAGACTGGCCATCTAATAAGAATACGCGGGGGGACCCTCCCCCCAAAAAAACAGAATTATCTTTTGGAGGGTGGGCCTCTTGGAATACAGACTTTCCCTGCTAGGTAAGTGTTCCAGGAAACCATCAGCATCGTTGTACCAGCTAGCATTGTTGTGAGAGGCTTCGTTGTAAAAGAAACATCCCTAGTTGTGGCAAACAGGTGATTGGTTCTTCCACCATGACAGCATAGCCACCCACATCACACTGAGGTTTCAGCAGTTTTTTACCAAAAACGGCATGACCCCCCATGCTATTCAACAGATCTCACCTCAAGTGACTTTTTTTTGGTCTGTTTCCCAGATGAAAAAAGTCCTCAAAGGGAAACATTTTGCCAATGTGGAAGAGATGGGAAAAAATGGCAGAAGACTAAAAGGCATCAAAATCGACGAGTAAAAAAACTATTTTGAGCAGTGGAAAAAGCATCTCGACAGGCATATTGTATCAAACGGAGAATAGTTTGAAGGTGACTGAAGTTTAAATATGTAAGAATAAATATACAATTTTTATAAATGAATTCTGGCTTTTGGGGGTCCCCCCCCTCATATACTGCCTTGTCCTTCCAGTCTAAAAGTGAAAATACAAGAAAACTTCATTCTCAGGTCATCAAAAGTTAGCCCTGTCTTGGCCACATCTCTACGTGACCATAGAAAGGGCTTAAAGAAAGTTTCTCTTCTTGAAAAGCAATTATTGAATGATGCAGTGGTATGTGAAATTTGATTTTCTGTCCTGAATGGATAAATAACCACTTGCTTGTTTCTTTACTCTTACTGATAGATGTGTGAAAAGCTTTATATTATTTTATAAGGAGAATGAGAAGGAGAATAGAAAAGGGTGAACAGGAGGCAGAAGAGGCCAAGGAGAAAAAGAAGAAACCTTGTTCCATGTTACAAACAAGGGCGTCCACCCCCTGCTATGCTCAGCTAGGCCAATCCCTCTCTCTGCAAGACAAAATATACTATGATTTGGTGATGTTGCTATGTTAGCTGAAATTAACAAGTGGCTTCTTTTCCCAAAACTATATTAGGTCAACATGCTATTGTTATATCTACACAGAATCTTTCTCTTACAAGTTTCACTATCATTTCAGCTTTCCCCAGTCCTGAAAGGTCCTTGACCTTGGGGAGTAGAGAAGCAATGCTTTATATAGTTTCTACATCACTCCAAGCCCTGCTTGATAGGACTCAAGGATGTTTTCGAGGAGAAAATGATTGGCATTTCTCTAACAAAGCAATTTGGTTCTCTTGTTGGTCAGCCAGTGTTACATTTTGTCCAAATTTGCAGCGTTAGTATCTAAATGAAAGTTTGCTTTCAGGTGTATTTCGACTGTTTTTCTTCTCAGAGAATGCCACCGAAATGGAACCTGAACAAACCTCTTTGTCATCTCTTTGTAGCTACAATTCGTTTTTCCAAATAAGACCATATTGACTATATTGTACTAAGAAAAACTATTCTCTGTATGTACTATTTCTCTAGATCAGCAACTATACATCTTTGATGATGTTTTCAGCAAGAGTTTTTGCAAATGATGGTTTGAAGCCAAATGTTTGCAATAAAGAATCCCCTGCCAAGCAAATGACTGAATTACACGAGATTGCCTAGTTTGGAAAGTGATAGTATTCCTTCAGGGAAGGAATGAAAGACAGTCATTGATATCATACATCCTAGTACCATCAACTATATTTCTCTTTCTCTCTCTCTCTCTCTCTCTCTCTCTCTCTCTCCTCCCTCCCTCCCTTGCTCCTTCTTTCTTTTCTTTTTGGAAACAGGGTCTTTTTCTGTCACCCAGGCTAGAGTGCAGTGATACAATTATAGCTCACTGCAGCCTCAAACCCCTGGGTTCAAGCAATCCTCCTGCTTCAGTCAACTCAGTAGCTGGGATTGGGAAGGCATGTGCCACCACATGGGGCTGGTTTTTTGGTAGAGATGGAGTCTCGCTATGTTGACCAGGCTGGTCTCAAACTCCTGGCCTCAAGCAATTCTCACATCTCAGTCTCCCAGAATGCTGAGATGGTAAGTGTGAGCCACCATATCTGGCCTGTACTTTGTCTTGTGGATCTTGGAGTTGGTGTGTGTTACTGGGCACAGTGGTCAGTTCTATATACACTTACTGTGCTGGTAAGAGCCAGTTGCAATCCCAGTGGGGGCCGTAAAGAATGTGCCAGTTAGTTGAGACAGCTGAGAGAGAATTTCAATTCCGGCTTCTGCATTTTCAAAGATATTTTCATTAGGCTTTGCCAGGCAACAGTTAAACGTTATTTAAGAGCACTGGGAGCTGACCAAGAAAGGTCACTAGCAGTTCTCTTTTCACGCCAATCCCCTCAGAGAACAGTCCATGAATGCCTTCTAGTTCACCCCAAAACACGGACACTAAAACACAACTTATGAGGACTACACAACAGGGGCAGAAAGAGGGTGTGGAGTTTGAGCTGGTGCTTATTGTCCAATTTGGAAGACTCAATCCAAAGACAGAGAAAAATCTACGTATTGTTTCTATTGTTTCTCCTGACTCAAAGGAGAAATCTCATTGTAAGAGGACAGATTTGAAATAGTTAAACAAGCTGGGCTCGGTGGCTCAGCCTGTAATCCCGTGCCTTTGGGAGGCTGAGGTGAGTGGATTGCCTGAGCCCGCGGGTTCGAGACCCGCCTGGGCAGCGAGACCTCATCTCTACAATAAATCAAAAAAATTCAGCCAGGCGTGGTAGCGCATGCCTGTAATTCCAGCTACTCGGAAGGCTGAGGTGGAAGGATCGCTGGAGCCCAGCAGGTCGAGGCTGAGTGGCCCAGGAGCGGCCACTGCACTCCAGTCTGGGCGACTGAGTGAGACTCCAACTCAAAAATAAAAATAAAAATAAAAAATAGTTAAACAAAGGATGGAGCATGATGGCTAAAATGTGGGGTAGGGTATTAATTTTATCCCTTCTTTGGTGACACAGCATATGAATTGAATCATTAAATTCAGCATACAGATCGAATTACTTAAAATGAACCTAATATAGTGAGTAACAGTTTAATTATTTGTAGTCCAAGAATAAATAATTATTCCAAATGCTTCAAATACTGCTTGAAACAAGATGACAGTAACTGAAACACTGGGATGTTTCTCACTTACTGGCATCACAGGTTTTTACTGACAAATAGATCAATGAAATCAAATAAAGAGTTCAGAAGTAGACCTACACATATACAGTCAATTGATCTCAACAAAAGGGTAAATGAAATTCATTGGAAAGAATAGAGTAGTTACAAAAAAATGATGATAGAACAATTAGACATTCACATGTAAAAAAAAAAAATTAACCCCTAGGCCAGGTGTGGTGGCTCAAGCCTATAATTCCAGCACTTTGGGAGGCCAAGGTGAGAGGACTGCCTGAGCCCATGGGTTTGAGAAAAGCCTGGCAACTTGGTGAGACCTCGTCTCTACAGTAAATCAAAAAATTAGCTGGATGTGGTGATGTGTGCCTGTAGTTCCATTACTTGGAAGGCTGAGGCAGAAGGATCATCTGAGCCCAGCAGGTTGAGACTGCAGTGGCCGTGAGCGTGCCACTGCCCTCCAGCCTGGGCAACAGAGTGAGACTCCAACTCAAAAAAAAAATTCACCTCAATCCATATGTCACATTCTATCAACAATAAATTAATCAAATGGACCACAAACATAAATGCCAAACTTAAAACTATAAACCATTTTTTAAAATTAAGAGAAAATCTTTATGAACTGTGGTTAAAGTTTTTCAATATGACACCAACAGCATGATCTATACAAGAAAAATGTGACACATTTGGTTTCAGCAAAATGAATAACTTCTCTTAAAAAGAAAACTATTTAGAGAAGAAAAATATGTCACCGACTAGAAAAAATATTTGCAAATTACTTATTCAGCATATATAAGAAGCTCTCAAAACTTAGTAAGGAAGATACCTACTTTTAAAAATGGACAAGAGGTTGAAACAGACACTTCTCCAAGGAATACATAGGAATGACAATAAGCACATGAAAAACCATGCTGTTAGTCATTAGGAAAATGCAAATTAAAAGCACACTGTGGCCGGGCATGATGGTTCATGCCTGTAATCCTAGCAATTTGGGAGACCAAAGATGACTTGAAGCCAGGAGTTTAAGATCAGCCTGGACAACATAGCAAGACATTATCTCTCAAAAAAAAAAAAAAAAATTAGCCCGGTGTAGTGGTTCACAAATGTAATTCCAGCTACCCAGGAGGCTGAGGTAGGGGGATCACTCGAGTTCAGGAGTTGGAAGCTGCAGTGATCTATGAGCACACCTCTGCATTCCCACCTGGGTGACAGAGCAAGACCCTCTCTCTAAAAAATAAAAATAAAACCACAATGAGATACCACTACACACCCACTGGAATAGCTAAAATCAAGAAGATAGATTATACCATGTATGGGAGTTTGGGGCAACTGGAGTTCTCATACATTGCTAGTGAAAATGTAAAATGGTACAACCACTTTGGAAAACAGTCCAGATGGTTTGTCAAAAGTTGAACACACACCTATAATATGACCTAGCCATTCTCCTAGGCATTATCCAAGAGACATGAAAGCATATGTTTGCAGCAGCTTTATTTGTAAGTGCCAGAAAACTGGAAATAACTCAAATATCTAACGACAGGTTAATGAATAAACAAATTGTGGTATATTTCACAGTATAACAATTCCCAGTAGTAAAAAGGAGCCATTGCTATATACTTCAAATGAATGCATCTAAAATAATGATCTCGAGTAAAGAAAGTCTGACAGAAAGAGAACATGCACTGTATGATTCCATTTGTAGAAAATTTTAGAAAGTGCAAAGTAATATATGTGAGAGAAAGTAAAGCAGTGGTTGCCTCGGGTTGGGTGTGAGGAGAAGCGGGAGAAAGAAATTATAGAGGGGCATGAAGAAGCTTTGGGGGGTAATGAGTATCTTCATTTTCTTGATTGTTTTATGATTTCACAGGATAGTTATGCATATGTCAAAATGTATCCAATTGCATACTTTAAATATGTACAGCTTATTGTATATTAATTATACCTCAATAAAGTTGTTTAAAAATTTTAAGACCAGTCAGGCGCCATGGCTCATGTCTCCCAACACTTTAGGAGGTGGAGGAAAGAGGATTGCCTGAGTGCAGGGCTTTGAGACCAGCCTGGGCAACTTGGCGAGACCTTGTCTCTACAATGCATCAAAAAATTAGCTGGGCATGGTGATGGGCACCTGTGGTTCTAGTTACATGGAAGGCTGAGGCAGAAGGGTCACCTGAGCACAGTAGATCGAGACCACAGTGGCTGTGAGCGTGCCTCTGCACTCCATTCTGGATGACAGAGTGAGGTTCCTACTCAAAAAAAAAAAAAAAAATTTAAGACCAGGCCTAATCCCAGCACTTTGGAAGGCTGAGGTGAGAAGATTGCTTAAACCCAGGAGTTTAAGATCAGCCTGGGCAACATAGTGAGACCTTGCCTCTATTCAAAAAAAAAAATTAGCTGGGGATGGTGGTGCGTGCCTTGAGAGCCTGAGGCAAGAGGATCACTTGAGCCCAGGTGTTTGAGGCTGCGGTGAGCCATAATTCTGCAATCAGCTTGGGTGACAGAGTGAAACTCCAACTCAAGAAAAAATAAAATAAAATAATTTTTTTAAAATAACACCTCCCCCCAAAAGTGAGTCTTAACTTTTTGGCTAATGCAGTAACTGGGTGAATGATGATATATTTACTGAAGTTTCTGGGGAAGGAGTAGGTTTAGTGCTTGGGAGGCAATTAAGAGTTTGACTTAGGTATGTTAACTTTGAGATATCCATTAGACGTGCAAATTAAACATCCACATGAAGATGGCAAGTTGAAATTAAATATAAGAGTGTGCAGCTCATGAATTTCAGAGCTGGAGAAATGAATTTGGGAGCCTTCAGCATACAGAATGAATTTGGAGTCATAGGTATAATGAGACTGCCTAGGTGAGAGTGTATATGTGGAAGAAAGGAGAGTCCAGGATCAAGTCCTGGGGCATATTTAAGGATCTTACCAAGAAAGAAGAGCCTGCCAAGGAGACTGAGAAAAGGGCACTGAGGTAGGAGGAAATGGGGAGAGTGTAGTGTTGGGAACATCAAGAGAAGCAGGAGTGTTTCGAGGAAAGGGGTTCATCTACATCAAACGCTTCCAAGAAGTCAAAGCAGGGTGAGGCTGAGCAGCGACCCTGGATTTGGGCACATGGAAGTCACTTTCAGTCTTCCAGAAGCAATTTCAGTAGTAATAAAGAGACCCCCTTGGAAGAGCTTGAGGAGAGAACAGGAGGTGAGGAAGGAAGAGGCATCAGTACAGACCAGTGAGTCTCAAAGTGAGACCTGGAACCAGTGGCTCCCTATCACCTGGGAGTGTGTTAGAAATGAAAATCCTCCAGTCCCACCCCAGAACCCCAGAGTCTGAAACTCTAGGTGGGCCCAGCATGCATATTTTTTTGGGGGGGGGGCTCGGAGTCTCACTCTGTCACCCAGGCTGGAATGCAGTGGCACGCTCATGGCCACTGCAGCCTTGATCTGCTGGGCTCAGACGATCCGTCTACCTCAGCCTTCCAAGTAGCTGGAACTACAGGCTCGTGCCACCACACCCGACTAATTTTTTGATTTATTGTAGAGATGAGGTCTCACCAAGTTGCCCAGGCTGGCAGCGTGTGTATTTTAACTGATTCTCCAGGTGATTTTAATATACACTAAAGTTTGAGGACCATGGATCTAGTCAGTTTAAACAGTGGTGAGGGAAAAAAGAAAATATTCTTTTTTTTCTCCTTAAAGATAGGAGATACTACAGGAGATGTGATACGAATGATCCAATAAAGAGAAGAAAATGAGGTTATAGGAGAAAATTTGTGTGTAGGAGTAAAGTCTTAAGAAGGTGAAGGAGCCCGAGTGGAATCGTTGATCTTGTTTGAGCAGGGAACAGCAGGGAAGACAGAGAATGAAAAGTAAGAGGTGGAATGCGTGGTGGAGTTGGTGGTGGGAGGGAACTTAGGGAGTTTCCATATGATATTTTTTTTTCCTCAAGGAAGAAATGAGGTCAAAAGCTGAGAAATTGGTTTACTGAAAAACTGTCTAAAGAGATGAGATAAACTTGTCATCTCAAAGAGGGGGAAAATGAGTTTACCAAGGAAATGCAGTAGGATCACCTGTCAGTGTTGCAATCCCATTTGACATTTAGGTCATCAAAGTCAAGTTAGACCAATCAGAACTGCCGTATGACTTGTTCTGACAGTCTTCAGCTGCTTTCGTGTACACAGAGTCGTGTTTTAACCAGCACTGGGATTTCGTCAAATGAGTTGGGATTTAGCCAGGAAAAAGAGACACAAGGAAGTTGAATTCTTTGCAAGGGAGTGATGATAAAGTACAATCATTAAATTTAAGTCTAACAAAGATGGATGCAAGGAGAAAGGTGGTGACAGAGAGTGGATAAAAGGCGGTGCATAAACTGGAGGTCATAGGCAAAGAAATGCTGGAATGGGGAATGTTTGAGTACATGATTTGGAAGTGGTGCTCAGGGACAAGGCTTGAGATCAGATTTCAGAGGTGATTACTGCTACTGAACTGACAAGCCCAAGAGTGATGCTGGGTTGGTTTGGAAAAAATGGTATTTGGACTGGGAAGTCAAAGTTCTTTGGTGGTTCATCCAGGTGGATATTACACTTGATGAGAATTGCAGGCATGTGTTAGGGCCAGAATGGTGGAAAGACATCTATTTCAGGGGAGCCATTAAGTTTCACTTGAGACAAATTTTATGTCACCAGATCCACCGTTCTTTTCCCCTTTTGCTCTTACTCTGCCTTTAATACTTTACTTTCCTACCTCCTTTCTTTTTCTTCTACTCCACTTTTTAAAAATGTGCTTTGCTCTCATTATTATTATATAAAAGTAATATTTGTTCATTACAGAAAATAGAGGCAAACAAAGTAAATGCTGAGCCGGGCTTGGTGGCTCAGCCTGTAATCCCGCACCTTTGGGAGGCTGAGGTGAATGGATTGCCTGAGCCTGTGGGTTCGAGACCCG